TTTGTGTGATGATTTGAAATAAGATCGACAAAATTTGGCCAATAAAATGGCTTGTTTTACAGTGTCCATTATGCTGCCAACATAAGTTTTACACTTTTTTATTATTAAACTTACAATTGACACATGCAAATTTTTTTATATTTTCCGGATGTTTGTAATACCTCAAGAGGTATAAAAAGGCTTGGTTTTAGACCAAGTGAGAATAATAACATGGATCATGTTAATAACATTCATAATAATCTATAACAATTGAATAAATACCCCTGCCAATTGTTAATAATTAAATAAACACATTTTACCTTATTATGAATTTTTGCATAGTTAACAGGAAAAGCCATTGTGAATTGTTCCATGGTCCTCTCTGATGATTAGTGGTCTAGTCACTAATCATTAGTTAGGAAACCCCCCCTGTTTGATTGTTCTATGTTTGCTTGTAGGGATGCCTCAAGTGGTATAGTTGTAAATATTTCTTGTATATTCTTTTTTATTTTTTTATTTGTGTTGTTATAAATTAAAATCAAATTAAATTAAAATCAAATTAAATTAAATAAAAAGAATGAACAATTATCAGAGGCAGCTAATCAACGTCTTGCCCAAATTTTAAATGTTGAAAAACCACCAGGTTTGTATATATATATATATATATAAGTTATTATTGCTATCATTATTACTGCTATTATTGTCATTAATCTCGTATAAATGCTGGTTTATTTATTCATAGAGGGCCGTATAAATACCACGCCATTACCAAATCCATGGGCTCCAAGGAATAACAATAATCTTGGAAGTTTAGGCGGGATAACATCATCAGGAAATGTAACAAATCCTTTTGGTGGTAAATATTTCACTAATAAATATTATTCACACATGAAAATTTTAAATGTCTATATTTATTTATTTAAAATTTTTTTTATGTTTTATCTGTTTATAGGAATACCATCCTTTAGTTTAATGGGATTTCCGCCTAATCAAGCAGTAATTATTTTTTTATCAATTATTTTTGCAGATGTTTTCATTCTCTATTTATTCATTACAAATTAATATATAATTTATATACACATATATAGCCCTTTCAATCTTTATCTACCAATACTAATAACAGATTACCAAATAGTAATTCGCAATTAAATAACGGATCATCGGCACCAACTAATAATACATCATCACAACCTTCTTCCACGAACGGTCTTCCACAGAATTTCCCTAGCGTTAGATTTTCATCACATCCACGGAGTTTACCAACATCTTCTAATCCTGATTTTATTAGGTTTCAACAAATAATGCAACGTTATATAGCTCCAACATCATCACAACCACCATCATCACAACCACCATCATCATCATCGCCATCATCATCGCCATCATCATCACAATATCCAACAACTCGACAACCAGGTCCGCAAACTTTTTTTCATCAATTTGGATCACATTCACCTTTTTTCACAAACAATGTTTCTCCACCACCAGCACTCAGGAGGTAAATAAAATTAAAAATTAAATTCTTTTTCAAAAAAAATAAAATAAAATAAAATTAAGTATGTTCTTTAATTTGTTATCATAAAGAAGCTTTCAAACAACATCAACAACACCTACTACATCAACGGCTACATCAACGCCTACATCAACCACGTCATCATCACCATCAACGGTAGCAACATCGACCACGTCAACAACGCCACAACCTATCAATCAATCATCCGAACCTCCTGAGGCTCGTTTCCGAGAACAACTTCGAAATTTAAAAGATATGGGATTTATGGATCAAGCTGCAAATATTCGTGCATTACTTGCTGCTGGTGGTGATGTTAATTCTGCAGTAGATTTACTTTTACAAAATTCAAATTTATAATATTTAATTTTAAAATTTTACTTTTTAAAAAAAATATTGAGAGAGAAGAGAAGGTAAAAGACACATATAAATATATAAATATATATAAATATAAATTAAAAATAAAATTTTTTTTTTATTTCTTTAATAGATTTATTTTTATTTCATAAAAATTGTCTTTCTCCTCTTTTTTATTTTATTCAGTTAACTATCATTATTTATAAAGAAAATTTAAAATCAAAAAAATATAATTTTTGCTTCAAATCACTATCAATAAGTTTTATTTTGCTACTTTTTTCATCTTTCATATATATTATAAAAAAAATTTTTGTTTGATTTTTTATTTAATTCAATGGCAAATATTTCTGTAGTTGAGTCAAAAAAAATTTTTTAAATCAAAAATCATTAAATTTCTCAAGATGATGGATATTTTATTTTATTTATTTATTTTATACATATATTTTTTTATTTTTCTATTTTTTTTTATTTTCAATATTAATATTAATATACTACAGTATATATTTCATTGAATATCCTTTTTTTCATATAAAGTGTTGTGTTACCAATTACATATTAAAAAAACGTGCATATTTGCTTGACATATGGGGTCTGGACAATAGAAAAGATTTGCATTCCAAGTACTATTGTTTTTTAAACTTTAATGGAAGGTATCTCTACGTAATGAGTTACATATAGCAATGATAAGCGCGGACATTCTTTGTTGTCACATAAATGTTACATCAATTATTTATATTGTTTAAAGTATATATACTTGAATCAGTCACATGAATAGGTACTAATTAATCGTTATTATAACTTTACTGTCAAAAGATCTCAGAATGATTTATAGTCCTTCAAATCTTATACTATATTCATTACTGAAGGCATGAAATATCTGTAATTAACATTTGTTCCACTTGTCAAATAGAAAGAAGTATCATTTTAGAAAGATCATTGAAACTGCTATATTAAAAGCTGAGAAGGATGTCATTATAACACATACATTCTAAATGTTATAAATGGTATGATAAAGTGACACAAAATGTCAGGAATCAAAGCACAACAAGATGATTTAAAACATATAAGTCACTGGAAATATTGAAACTGATTATAATAATTCTTTATAAAACGAAATAACAGAATTAAAAAAAAAGAAAAAGAAATTATTACAATGTATTCAATAAATAAAGTGACAGGTAAAGGGATTTAGAATATAAATAAGGCTCTGAACAAATCGAGCCAAATTTTAAAGTGATTTGATTTGGTTTGATTCATGACTTGATTCTAATCAAACCAAATTCCTAAATTTCTTTAATGTTATATTAATAGGGTTCTATTTGAATGATTTGTTTTATTTTTTATGAATTTGACTATTCGAAATACATTGAATGTTTATATAAAATGAATAATAAAATGAATGAACCAATCTCAGAACAATCCAAGCTGAGTTTATGCTTAGCTTGAGTTTGGCTTGACTTGAATATATGAGTTCAAGCCAACTTGAAATTTAATATTATTATGATTTAAATGTTCTAAAATTCAAGCACATTATACAATTTATTATAAATAGTTTATTATTGCTTCAATTATTTTCAATGGCCTGCAAAATCGTGATTTTATAAAAAAATAATATTACATTTAAATCATCATAAAATAATTTTATGACAGACTAAAAAATTCCAAAAATTCCAAATGAGAACAATTCTGTTTTAATATTTGTTTCTAATAAAAATTTTTTTAGGTTCTGAACATATATATATGCATAAGAAAATTGCATTTAAAATTCATTATACCAAAATTACTAATCATGTTTCAATAAATTTTATGTTTTTAAAAATTCATAGTAATGCAATTTAATTTAATTTATTCATTTATTTGCTTTTTTTTTCAAATTTTTTTGAATTATTCATTCATTTATTTGCTTTGAGCAGACTCGAGTTAAAGCTTGAATTTTCAAGTTTGAGCTGAGTTCAAGAAAATAGACTCTTAAATTGTTTTTTGGGTAATGTGTATAAATAAAATAAAAAGTATTAGAATTAATTATTTGTTACTTAAAAAAAATTTATGTAATGTCAAATTTGTTTGGTCAATAAATTTTAGAGACACAAAAAAATTTTTAATAGCATTACATTAACAAATGTAAGAGTAGAACGAATTTTTCAAAACAAAGAATTAAATACAAAGGTTTTTTCATTGTAAAAATAGGCATTATATAAATATTATTTTTATAGAAATGCAAGCTTTTAATTTGATTATTATCTTATAATTGAAAGATTTTATATATGTCTATTTATTAGAGTAATAAATATTTGGCAATTAAATATTATGGCAATTATCAATTTGTTCACATTGATGTTATAAAGGTAATAGAAACAAATGAAAAAACTATAATTTCTTCATGTAATTATTAATCAAAATAAAATGTTAAATAATTATTTATTAATTATAATTGAACCTGAAAGTGTCAATGGCAGTTTATAGTGGTAAACCGAGTAATTTAATAAAAGTTGTTGGTCTGTTATATTTGTCTTTTATTAAAAGGATACAGGTTTCTAACATCTGACATGAAGAGTGGTCAATAAAAAAATAAATCAAAATATCAAGGGCATGAGTATAAACATATTGCGAGCGTGCAATCCGAGTTTCCTATTTAATAGGTTATTTATAGCTCAACACACAGCCTACTCGCTGACTTACGGTTGATTCTATTGTTTGA